CTACCCGCTACACTACCCGCTACACGACCTGCTACACTACCCGGCGCTACACTACCCGGCGCTACACTACCCGCCGCTACACTACCCGCTACACTACCCGCTACACGACCTGCTACACTATCCGGCGCTACACTACCCGCTACACTACCCGCCGCTACACTACCCGCCGCTACACTACCCGCCGCTACACTACCCGCTACACTACCCGCCGCTACACTACCCGCTACACTACCCGCCGCTACACGACCCGCTACACTACCCGCCGCTACACGACCCGCTACACTACCCGCTACACTACCCGCTACACTACCCGTTACACTACCCGTTACACTACCCGCCGCTACACTACCCGTTACACTACCCGCCGCTACACTACCCGCTACACTACCCGCCGCTACACTACCCGCCGCTACACTACCCGCCGCTACACGACCCGCTACACTACCCGCTACACTACCCGCCGCTACACGACCCGCTACACTACCCGCTACACTACCCGCTACACTACCCGTTACACTACCCGTTACACTACCCGCCGCTACACTACCCGTTACACTACCCGCCGCTACACTACCCGCCGCTACACTACCCGCTACACGACCTGCTACACTACCCGCCGCTACACGACCCGCTACACTACCCGCTACACTACCCGTGCAACCTGTACTCGCACACAGACCACCTCCAGATGCACACGGAGACCCAGAGACTAATTATCTATGGGGGGGGGGGGGTTGGGGAGAGGACCCTTTTAGCCGGTATCAAGATGATGGAAAACAGTCGGTGATGGCTACACGGGGGCTCTTTGTGTAGACGTGTGTGTAGTCGTGTGTGTGTGTGTACACGTGTGTGTGTGTGTTTGTACACGTGTGTGTGCACGCACGTGTGTGTGTGTGTACACGTGTGTGTGTGTACACGTGTGTGTGTGTGTGTACACGTGTGTGTGTGTGTGTACACGTGTGTGTGTGTACACGTGTGTGTGTGTGTGTACACGTGTGTGTGTGTGTACACGTGTGTGTGTGTGTACACGTGTGTGTGTGTGTACACGTGTGTGTGTGTGTACACGTGTGTGTGTGTACACGTGTGTGTGTTTGTACACGTGTGTGTGTTTGTACACGTGTGTGTGTGTGTTTGTACACGTGTGTGTGTGTGTTTGTACACGTGTGTGTGTGTGTTTGTACACGTGTGTGTGTGTTTGTACACGTGTGTGTGTGTGTTTGTACACGTGTGTGTGTACACGTGTGTGTGTGTATGTACACGTGTGTGTGTGTGTACACGTGTGTGTGTGTACACGTGTGTGTGTGTGTACGGGTAGGGAGCGGTGGTGCAGCGGTTAGCGCCGCGCTGCGCTACGAACCCGGCGACCCTAGTTCGATTCCCGCTCACGGCCACCACCACCACCACCGGTGACGATTATCTGAGCCGCTCCTCGCGGGCCTCCCCTAGGTCGACTCGGCCTCAAATGAATACCCCCCGGTGCGTTGTGTCGTAAAAATCGCCGCTAGGGGAGACGAAGGCGGCCGTGCGTGGTGCTGGCCAGCCGCCCCCTCGTGCCGGCCTTCGCAGGTGCTGCTCGCTAAGGTAGTCTCTGTGTGCGGGGTAGTGGAGCGCAGAGCGCGCTGCTGGTTACCCGTTAGCGATCAGCATCCCCGCCAGGACCCCGCCAGGACCCCGCCGTGCTGTCTGCCGCAGGCCGTCGGTCGTCGCCAGGCAGCTGGATCGACCTTCAGTCCGAAGTGGGCGCGCGCGTGTGTGTGTGTAGGTGTGTGTGTGTGTGGGTGTGTGTGTAGGTGTGTGTGCGTGTGTATGTGTATGTGTGTGTGTGTAGGTGTGTGTAGGTGTGTGTGTGTAGGTGTGTGTAGGTGTGTGTGTGTAGGTGCGTGTGCGTATGTGTGTGTGCGTATGTGTGTGTGTGTGTAGGTTTATGTGTGTGTGTGTAGGTGTGCGTGCGTGTGTATTTATGTGTGTGTAGGTGTGCGTGCGTGTCTATTTATGTGTGTGTAGGTGTGCGCGCGTGTGTGTGTGTGTAGGTGTGTGTATGTGTGTGTGTAGGTGTGCGTGCGTGTGTATGTATGTGTGTGTGTAGGTGTGCGTGCGTGTGTAGGTGTGCGTGCGTGTGTATGTATGTGTGTGTGTAGGTGTGCGTGCGTGTGTATGTATGTGTGTGTGTAGGTGTGCGTGCGTGTGTATGTATGTGTGTGTGTAGGTGTGCGTGCGTGTGTATGTATGTGTGTGTGTAGCTGTGCGTGCGTGTATGCGTATGTATGTGTGTGTATGTGTGTGAGTGGGGAGTGGTGGTGTAGCGGTTATCGCGCAGCGTTATGAACCCGGCGACCCGGGTTTCGATTCCCGCTCACGGCCAACACCGGTGACGAGTGTCTGAACCGGTCCTGGGCCTCCCCTAGGTCGACTCGGCCTCAAATGAGTACCTGGTGCGGTGGATAAAAACATTGCCACTGGAGAGACAAAGGCGGTCGGGCGTGTCGCTATCCACCCCCCCCCCCCTCGTTTGCCGTTCCGGACTTCATAGGTGCTCGCTAACAGCACTTGCCCCTACAGTCTGTTAAGCCTATACGGGGGATCTTTGTATTTGTATGTATGTGTGCGGGGAGCGGTGGTGCAGCGGTTAGCACGCCGTGCTACGAACCGGGCCACCCGAGTTCGATTCCCGCTCGCGGCCAACGCCGGAGAGTCTCGGTCCTGGGCCTCCCCTAGGTCGACTCGGCCTCAAATTGGGCCTTCATAGATTAGACTAAACGATGTATTTTATTTTTACCAGGCAAGGCTCCACTGAGCTTCTACGTAGCTCTGTTTCAGAAGCGACCTGGATATTACAAACGATAGCTCAACGAATGTGGCTCGTCATCATCATCACGTGGACATTTATAGCAGCCGAATACTCTAAACGCGTGGTGACGTCAATTCTAAATGGGGAGGGGAAAAACCGGAGGACCCCGGACAAAAGTCCACGCGACCACGGGGAGAGAGAGAGACGCAAACTCCAAATATACAGCAGCAGCAGCAGGCGTCAGGGTCGGGATCGAACCCACGACCTCCTGCACACCAGGCGAGGTAGTCAACATCTCCTAGCCACCGTGATGATGATGATGAGAGAGACACGCAGACTCCAAATATACAGCAGCAGGCGTCAGGGTTGTGATCGAACCCACGACCTCCTGAATACCAGGCGAGGTAGTCAACATCTCCGAGCCACGGCACGTGCCACCTTGCAGTCTTTGCTGGCGCTGGGGGTTTGTTTGTCTTTGTGAGCGTTACACACAGCGGCCTTCATAGGTGCTCGCTATCAGCACTTGCCCCCAACACTCCGTTAAGGCTATCCGGCCGATCTTTGTCTTTGTGTCGTGAGATTAACAGCATACGGGGAGGTCCGTCTTTTTATTCGTACAGACCTGTGGGCGGTAACAGCACTTGCCCCAGCAGTCCGTTAAGGCCATACGGGGGATCTTTGCCTTTGTTACCCACGTCAGCGCCGCATGTGTCCTCGCATTCTCTCTCTCTCTTCACCTCTCAGGAAATGCACCCCCCCCCCTGGCACCCCCCCCTGCACACCCCCCCTGCACACCCCCCCTGCACACCCCCCCTGCACACCCCCCCTGCACACCCCCCTGGCACCCCTCCCCCTGCACCCCCCCGCCCTGCACACCCCTCCCCCTGGCACCCCTCCCCTTGGCACCCCACCCCCCTGCACACCGCCTGCACACCCCCCTCCCCCCTCCCCTGGCACCCCCCCACCCCCTGCACCCCCCCTGCACCCCCCCCAACCCCATGCACCCCCCCTGGCACCCCCCCCCACCCCCCTGCACCCCCCCTCCCCCCTCCCCTGTTAGGCATCTGGGCGTTTGATGTTTTATTTTTGAAGGTAGTTCTGATACGAATCTCATTCTGCCAGGGATGCGCTTCTGTGGCGCCTGTCTATAGAGATTTGTTTTATTCTCTCTCTCTGAGAACCCTTATTTATCCCCCCCCCCCTCCCCGTTCGTCGTGCCCCCTGCCCCCCTTTCATCTAAACGAACGCCGCTGATCGCCACCGCCGCTGCGTTCCGAGCGGCCGCTCTGGACCCACGGCCACTCGACGCGCTCGGCGTTCGTAACGGACGAACAAAAATAATCGCCGATGTTTCGGGCAATCGGCCTCCTTCAGAGAAAACACACACACGCGGTGTGCTGCTTTACGGCACGTATTGCGTTTATATATTTAAAAAAAAAATCTTGTTCGGTCATTGGCTTACTCGCCACCGCACGTGAACCCCCAAAAATTGTGAGTCTAGGAGGCTCTATTTGATTCTGTTGGTCTCTGTGTGTGAGTCTACGGGTCTCTGTGTGAGTCTATGGGTCTCTGTGTGAGTCTATGGGTCTCTATGTGAGTCTATTGGTCTCTGTTGTGAGTCTAGGAGGCTCTGTGAGTCTATGGGTCTCTGTATGAGTCTATGGGTCTCTGTGTGAGTCTATGGGTCTCTGTGTGAGTACGGGTCTCTGTGTCTGGGTCTCTGTGTGAGTCTATGGGTCTCTGTGTGTGTCTATTGGTCTCTGTTGTGAGTCTAGGAGGCTCTGTGAGTCTATGGGTCTCTGTGTGAGTCTATGGGTCTCTGTTGTGAGTCTAGGAGGCTCTGTGAGTCTATGGGTCTCTGTGTGAGTCTATGGGTCTCTGTGTGAGTCTATGGGTCTCTGTGTGAGTCTATGGGTCTCTGTGTGAGTGTATGGGTCTCTGTGTGAGTCTATGGGTCTCTGTGTGAATCTATGGGTCTCTGTTGTGAGTCTAGGAGGCTCTATGTAAGACATCCGTGACCGGGCTGAGACCACCATCTCATTACGGTCGACTTGACACCTGGGATCGAACCTAGGTTCTCAATGGGCGCCGGGCTTTAGTGTCCTGACATGACTTGTTGATTTATCTCTGGATCTTCCCCTCCCCCGTCTCTTCCTCTCTCTCCTCTCTCTCCATCCTCTCCGCGTCTCCCCCCCCCCCCCCCCCCCCCCAGGGCTTTCTGAGCAAGCGGTTGAAAGGTTCCATCAAACGCACCAAGAGCCAGCCCAAGCTCGATCGCAACACCAGCTTCCGGCAGATCCTGCCCAGCCTGAGGAGCCCCAACAATGACAGGTGAATCTCATTTGCCCTCCCAACCGCGCGCGTTCACCGCACCCGTTCACCGCACCCGTTCACCGCACCCACGCACGCACCCACGTACCTACCCACACACCTACTCACCCACGCACCCACGCACCCACCCACGCACCCACCCACCCACGCACCCACCCACCCACCCACGCACCCACCCACGCACCCACCCACCCACGCACCCACCCACCCACGCACGCACCCACCCACCCACGCACCCACCCACCCACGCACCCACCCACCCACGCACCCACGCACGCACGCAGGCGGGCGTGGGTGCCGTGGCTGTAGCCGGGATTCACAGCTGCTGCTGCTGCTGCTGCTACCGCCCGCTCATAGCGGCACTTGCACCCCCCCCTGACGGCGGTCTGTTGAGGTTATACGGGGGATCTTTGTCTTTATCTTTGGGTGTGCGTGCGTGTGTGAATGTGGGGGTACGGGAGTGCGGGGGGTTCCTCGTGGATACATCGCCACTGGGGAGACAAATGTGGCCGGGTGTGGTGGTGGCGGCCATCCCCCCGCTGGCCGCAGGCCTCATTAGGTGCTCGCACACCGGAAGCAAAGACAAAGAAGCCCCGTGTAGCCTTAACGGGCTGTAGGGGCAAGTGCTGTTAGCGAGTAGCAGCACCTACGAAGGCCGGCACGGCGCACGAGGGGGTGGGCGGCCAGCACCACGCCCGGCCGCCTCTGTCTCGCCAGTGGCGACGTTTTGCTACACACCGCGCCAAGGTACTCGTTTGAGGCTGAGTCGACCCAGGAGAGCTCTCAGATCGGTTCAGATAGCCGTCGCCGATGTCGGCCGTGAGCAGGAATCGAGCTCGGCACCGCCGGGTTCGTAGCAGCAGCAGCAGCGAGCGAGCGAGCGCTCTAACCGTTACTGCTCCACTACGCGAAAACAAAGATAAAGATCCCCCATATAGCCTTAACAGACTGTAGGGGCAAGTGCTGTTAGCGAGCACCTATGAAGGCCGGAACGGTACACGAGGGGGTGGGGTGGCCAGCACCACGCCCGACCGACTTTGTCTCCCCCAGTGGCGATGTTTACACACCGCACCAGGTACTCATTTGAGGCTGAGTCGACCTAGGGGAGGCCCGGGACCGGTTCAGATAATCGTCACTGGTGTTGGCCGTGAGCGGGAATCGAACCCGGGTCGCCAGGTTCATAGCGCAGCGTAGCGCTAACCGCTACACTATCGCTCCCCCCACGCGCAAGCAAGCAAGCGCACGCACTTGCAATCCCGAATGTCATTTTACGCTTGGGTGAGACGCGTATCGACAGCGGGGGGGGAACCGTGGTCCTTCTCATCTGGAGGGACATCGTGGTTTTTTTCTGGGTGCCGGGTGTGCGCGTGTCTGTGTGTGTGTGTGTGTCTGTGCGTGTGTGTGTCCGTGTCTGTGTGTGTGTGGTTGACGCAGCGGTTAGCGCGACGAACCCGGCTCCGACCCGGGTCTCGATTGCCGCTCGCGGCCAACAACACAGGCGACGGTTGTGTGAACCGGTCTGTTGGCCTTCCCCTAGGTCGACTCGGCCTCAAATGGGTAGCCGGTTGCGGCGTGCAAAATCATCGCCACTGGGGGGAGACAAAGGCGGTCGGGCGTGGTGCTGGTCCACCCACCCCCTTCGCGTGCCGTTCCGCCCTTCGTAGCTGCTACTCGCTAACAGCACTTGCCCCAACAGTCTGATGAGGCTACACGGGGGGCGGGGGGCGGGGGGGGGGGGTCTTTTGTCTGTAGAGCGGTGGCGCTGCGGTGAGTGGTGGTGCAGCGGTTAGCGGCACGCTGCGCTGCGAAACCCCCGGGCTGCGACCCCGAGTTCGATTCTCGCTCACGGCCCGACCGACACCGCCAGTGACGATCGTCTGAACCGGTCCTCGCGGGGCCTCCTCCGCTAGGCCGGCTCGGCCACTCCGTGTGCGGCGGCGTGTCTACAAACTTCACCAACTGGGGAGACAAAGGCGGCCGGGCGTGGCGGTGCTAGCCAATCCCACCCCCCCCACCACCACCACACCGCTGCGCCTCGCTCGTCCCAACGGGTGTCCCGCTAACGGCACTTGCCCCTCTGGTCTCGTGGAGGCTTACACACGGACATGGTGGGGATCTTTGTCTTTGTAAACACAATATAATTACTTCCAAGTATCCAATTTAATAGAAATGCCCGCAGCTAAATGTTTTGACTTCCCTCCCCCATCCTCTTACGCGATGTTTTGTTTTATTTATTTATTATTTTGCCAGCGGGGGGGGGGGGGGGGGGGGGGGGGGGGGGGGGGGGGGGGGGGGGATATTTTAATTAAATTTTACTCCGGAGTAAATCCGATGAGCCGAGAAGCTCTTCGGGGAGCCACCTATTCTGGCCTCTCCTGCGAGCAGCGGTCCGGCCGTCGCGTCGCTGACCGACCAGGTTTGACGCGCACGTTCACAGCGGCCAAATAATCGGAAGTTTAATTTAAAACGCCGTGGACGTTGATTCTAAAATGTGGAGGGGGCAAAACCGGAGGACAGAGAGAGAGAGAGACACGCAAACTCCAAATATACAGCAGCAGCAGGCGTCAGGGTCCGGGATCGAACCCACGACCTCCTGTACACCAGGCGAGGTTGTTAACATCTCCTAGCCACCGTGATGATGATGAGAGAGAGAGACACGCAAACTGCAAATATAAAGCAGCAGGCGTCAGGGTCGGGATCGAACCTACGACCTCCTGTAGACCAGGCGAGGTAGTTAACATGTCCTAGCCACCGTGATGATGATGAGAGAGAGAGAGACACCGCAGACTCAAAATATACAGCAGCAGCAGGCGTCAGGGTCGGGATCGAACCCACGACCTCCTGTACACCAGGCGAGGTAGTTAACATCTCATAGCCACCGTGATGATGAGAGAGAGACACCGCAAACTGCAAATACACAGCAGCAGGCGTCAGTCGGGATCGAACCCACGACCTCCTGCACACCAGGCGAGGTAGTCAACATCTAGCCACCGTTTCGTGGCCGCCCATCCTTGTGCTGCTGCTACAACAGCAGTAATACGAGCGATGTCAGCGATGTCAACGATGGACTCCGCTTGTGCCGCGTGGTGACCGCTCGCTTATCGGAGGTAATGGCTCGGACGAGGCGCGTGGAGGAGGAGAAGGGGACCCACTTTCTCCCCCTCTCTCCTTTTCTCTCTCTCCTTCCTCCTCCTTCACTCGTCCCCTGTCTCTCCGCTGCCTCCAGGCTGTCGTCATCGTCGTCGTCACTGTCACTGTCCAAGGAACGAAAAGGGCCTTTTAACTTGTTCACTAAAACCCGCCCGCCAACCCCCCGCATAAGCGAGTGTCAGGGTGTGTCGGCTGTGCAGGAGCAATCAATTTAAAGTGCTCTTTTTTGAGCAGTCGCTCTTTAATGGATGGCTCTTGAAGTTTTCCCCGGCTGTCCCTTTCGCGTGCCTCCAACGTTTTCCGAGCAATTATTTTTCTTTCCTGCACCACGCGTGCCGGTGCGCGTGCACGTGCCAGTGTACGTGCGTGCCAGTGAGTGAGTGAGTGTGATTGCACGTGCGAGTGAGTGCGTGCCAGTGTGAGTGAGTGAGTGTGAGTGCACGTGCGAGTGTGCGAGTGTGCATGCGCGGGCCAGTGAGTGAGTGAGTGTGATTGCACGTGCGAGTGAGTGCGTGCCAGTGTGAGTGAGTGAGTGTGAGTGCACGTGCCAGTGTACGTGCGTGCGCATGCCAGTGAGTGAGTGAGTGTGAGTGCACGTGCGAGTGAGTGCGTGCCAGTGTGAGTGAGTGAGTGTGAGTGCACGTGCGAGTGTGCGTGCGAGCGAGCATCTATAATCTCGCCGCGGTGGCTATGAGATGTTAACTACCTCGCCTGGTGTACAGGAGGTCGTGGGTTCGATTCCGACCCTGACACCTGCTGCTGTATATTTGGAGTTTGTGTGTTTCTCTCATCGTCATCACGGTGGCTTGGAGATGTTGACTACCTCGCCTGGTGTACAGGAGGTCGTGGGTTCCATCCCGACCCTGACGCCTGCTGCTGTATATTTGGAGTCTGCGTCTCTCTCTCTCTCTCATCATCATCACGGTGGCTATGAGATGTTGACTACCTCGCCTGGTGTACAGGAGGTCGTGGGTTCGATTCCGACCCTGACGCCTCCTGCTGTTGCTGTGTATTTGGAGTTTGCGGTGGGGGGGGGGGGGGCGTGGGGGCAGGTGCCGCTCTTATGAGAATATCGATCTGCGTATCGATCGCTCCCATCGATCGCTAACGAGCCGACGACGTATTTGTTTAATTTGGTTTCCTTTTGCCGGCGAGCGAGTCGGTGAGCGAGCGAGTTTATTTCTTCTCTCTCCAATACCTGGAGACAAATTACACTCCCCGGGTCGCCTAAGCCCACGTTATTAATGTTGCAACGTCATTAAATATTCAGTAATAATAATAATTTTATCATAATAATAATATAATTGTTACGATGATCACGATTGATGCTTGTCGTTTCTCCCCGGGAAAGCGTCACAGAATCTCACAGCGCATTTTAAGTGTGGGGGGGGGGGAGGGTGGGGGGGGGAGATGGGGGGGGAGGTGGAGGAGGGGGGGGGGGAGGTGGGGGGGGAGGTGGAGGTGGGGGGGGTGGAGGTGGGGGGGGTGGGGGTGGAGGTGGGGGGGGGTGGGGGTGGAGGTGGGGGGGGGTGGGGGTGGAGGTGGGGGGGGAGGGGGGTGGAGGTGGAGGGGGGTGGAGGAGGGGGGGTGGGGGTGGGGGGTGGAGGTGGGGGGTGGAGGTGGGGGTGGGGGGTGGAGGGGTGGGATGGTTAGCGCTACGCTGCGCTACGAACCCGGCGACCCGAGTTCGATTCCCGCTCACGGCCACCAATCAGAACCTGTCCTGGGCCTTCCCCTCGGCCTACGCGTCCTCACAAGCGAGTTACCTGCTGCTGCTGCCTTGCTGGCCTTAATAGGTGCTCGCACACAGCGCTTCCCTCCACAGCAGCCTGTTAAAGGCTCTACGGCGG